TTTTTTTTTTTTTTTAACCCGACAATAAGGGATTCATGTGATGATATACAACTGATGGAATTCACTTGTATAACTGGATTTTATAGAATAAGAGGTCACATATCATCATATATGCCATTAAAGTAACAGTTACATGTTCTTGAAAGCCAGTATACACCACTATAAATTTGAACATTTCATTTGGATGCTCTGAATAGTGTCTGTGTCTTGGTCTCATAGAAGTACCAGTGGCTTCTATGAGAAGCACCAATGGCTTATATGGGCCAGCTACTCAAAAGGCTGTCAGTACCTCTGGGTTGCCTGAGGTTGTGCTACTGCATCAGCCTTCAGTGATTCCCAAGGGCCTTTCCAGAGCTTCTCTCTGTGGTTAGAGCCCTGTTTAGGCTATTTCTGAAATGGTGCAGCCTCAAATTACCCCCGCCCAAAAGAAAAAGTAACACAACATACTTAGCAGGCACTGGCCTAAGCATTTACATGCTCTATTTCATACAGTCTTGTCAGGTCATAGGTAGGCACTCCTGTTGGTATTGGCAATAAGGTAACGGGAGGGCAGAGGCATTAAACCACATATTCAAGTCATACAGTCAATGAATTGTAGAGGCCAAGACCTCAACCCAGGTGCTAGGAAGGAACACAAATATTCCTGGAGTAAGTTTTGGTTACTAGTTCAGGAAATAAAATTGTGCAGACCTTCTGGAGGTAGGGGAGGATTCCAGTTTAGAGTTTTGCAAGCAGTTGTGATTTTTAAAAACTGTTCCATATTTTTACCTTTCTGATTAACCTATGTCTTGTCCCCCTAACCCACAGGAATATCGAAAACAGAAAAAAAGGTGAAATTGGAAGAAAAAAGCTCCACTGCATTTGGTATGGACAGAAAGTAATCTTTAAGCAAAAGACTATAAAGCTTGACAGAGAGGACAGCATCTCTCTCTGCCCCTCCCTGCTAGGGCTCCTTGTGGTGCCGAGACCGTCTGCTTCTGTGCTTAGCCTAGTCAGCCTCCGAGGCACCTGCTCTCCAGGGTACAGCTGTACTTATGTGTGTTCTGTGGGCTTCTCTGTGTACTTGCTTCTGGACATCTCTGGTTAAAACTATAGATAGCTGTTTAAAAACAAGCCTCCATCTAATATTCAGACTTAGAGTAATGGGTGATGAGGTAAAATACTCACTTCTCATACATTCTTCTTCAGTTTGCCTTACTGAAAGGTTACTGATTTTTCCACTTTCCTAACTACCTTGTGCTGAGTAATCACCAAAAGTCAGAAAATGATGGGTGACAATATGAAGTATTATTTAGGTTAGCTAACTGGAGTCACTGAAAATTGGCTTAAAATGATTGAAAAATTGTGGGCTAGTCCATCCTAAACTGGAAAAATAGCTTCTAGAACGTATGTTCAGTTTTAACTTGAGGTACAATGTTCTAATGTACTGTTAAAACATGTCGTCATCTTTTCTAAAGTAGATATGATTAAAGAAAATAAGGCTTTTGGATCTTTAGAATAATCATTAGAATGAAACATTTTTTCTTTCTTGTTCTTTTCTTTCATGTATACACAGGGAAGACATTTAAATATGGAAGGAGCTATGTATAGATTAATTTGATTAGTCTTGTTTTTCTTTTCTGAAGAGAAAAAAAACATCTTTTTTAAACTCTCTAAACCTTATTAAATTGTATATAGAACTGCTGATTCTCCATAGTGAGGTCTTTTTTAAATTATGGGATTTAACTTCTTGGCACATAGTAGGAATTTTAGTTTATTACGTATTTAAAGATGTTAACTACTGTCTGTGTTAACTTTAAGGTGTCAGGAGTTGGGATTTTTTCAACACTGCTAATGAAGATCCCCTCTTATAGTCCAATAAGCTAAGCAAGAGTTCCAGACTCATGACACGAACAGTTTAATTGAATGCGTCCACTCTGGGCAGGTGACTGGAATCACTGATGAAAACATGAATGCTGCTTTGAGGGGACCGCAGAGGAGCAGCTCAGGAGCACGCGTGATCATTGAAGGGTTTGCTTTTGTCTGTTGCAGGTAAAAGGAAAGAGAAGGATAAGGAGAGAAAGGAGAAAAGAGACAAAGATCACTACAAACCAAAGCAGAAGAAAAAGAAGAAGAAGAAAAAGAAATCCAAGCAGCATGGTGAGTGTGCTGAAATGTGCTCCAAGGTGTTCTGAGATTGTCCTCTCTCCTTTCCCACCAAGTAGAGGATGAGCTGAGCACTCACTGCGTTGTTAAGAGCTGAGATATTCCTGTAACTTGCCTTTGTCTCCTCATTCCAAAATCACACAACTCTGTTCTGTAAACTAAGTCCCAACTGGCTGTCGACTTTTATTTCTAACATTGTGGTGGGGTAAGTACTATAACCACAAAGCTTTAACATGATGAAGGTTTATTTCCCCACTGTGTATGTGTTTATGTTCTTTTTTTTCTTTCTGGTGTGTGTGTATATGTACACTGTCATGTACACATATGTACTTGGCCATCCATGCGTGTGTGGAGGCCAGGGGTCAACATGGTATCTTCTTATATAGTTCTCTCTTATTTTTGAGACAGGGTCCTTCACTGAACCTGAAACCAAAGCTTGGCATTTCATCTAAACTAGCTATCCAAGAATCCTCTGCAGTCTTCAGCTCTGCTGTCTGTCTGTCTGTCTGTCTGTC